TGGGCTTAAGTAATGGCAAAGGAAACTGAGTCCAAGAAAACAACCAAAACAGACTGACTGACTGACACATTGTCTACTGTAAATTCTGGTTTTGATTGTTTTGTTGAAACAGCACCTCATTGTTCTGAACAGAGCAGAAACCGACCCACATTTCAAATATGCAGAAAACAAATGCTTTGCTAAGATCTAAGGATCTCTTTGTAGCTGAAACATCATGCATTAATGGGAGAACAAATGTTAATGTTTGAAAACCCATAATATCACACCTTCTAGTATGTCAGAAAAGGTTGAGTATGCAGAGCAATGTTATGAATAAATATGTCTAGTTGTATTCAGATTTCATGTGAGTATGTCCTTTGTAGCGCAGTTGCAGTGCATACTGAAAGTATAAAAAGTATGTGATTTGGAGAGTGAGGCTGTCAAGAGGCACAGATCAGTGCCCTCATACTATATTTTTCTAGAAAAAACCCTGGTGTGTTTGCTTTGAGCTATATGCTAATGTTGACATGCTAACATGCTGATGCTTAACTGGTATAATGTTGACAATATTCATCTTTTCAGTTCATGGGTACTACAGTGGTGTAGCCACCATAGAGTTAGGGTTAGCCCTATACTCATTGGCCCACCCTGACCCCTAGATTCCACCGGGTCCGTCTGCGGCGCGTTACGGACGCGTTACGGACGCGTTACGGACGCGTTACGGCTGCGCCGCGGTGCTCAAGGTGATCGCGGCCACTCTAGTCAATGGGTGCTATTCCACCACACGCGGCGCGTTACGGCTCAGACGCGTCCCAGAAGCGTCCCAGAAGCGGCTCGGCGCAGGGCTTTTCTAAAATTAGGATCGAATCCTATTTTTGTCGCGGCGCAGCCGTAACGTAAAGTCGGGCAGGCAGGAAGTGGAACGTTCAGAGCTATATAGACCTATATATATACACACACACAAACTAATTTTGCAGACCCTATCCCTCCGTAGTCTTTCAAGTAGGAGGAGAAATGCCAGCGTTCTCCTCCGGTTTACAGGCACTGTGTAAATTATATATATAGAATAATTATGATGATGAATGCATTTTTTTTACCACTAAAATACAGCAACACATCTTTGATTCATGTCGTTTATAACTGGAATATTACAGTTATTATTAACTTTGTCTGTACAAAGTAGCCTGTCCAGGAAATATGCCCAAATCAACAAAAACTGCGAGCCGGCAGGCAAGACTCTCCGCTTCTGAAATGCTTCTGAAACGCGCCTGGTAGGGTATGACGCCGGAGGAGGCCGGACCAAAACCGCGGCGCAGCCGTAACGCGGCGCAGACGGACCCGGTGGAATCTAGGGGTCAAGTTTCGGTGTAAATTGTATTTATTTATTTTTTAAATTTTTAAATGTTTACATTTTTAAATTATTATTGTAACAAAATGTATTCACCCATTGAGAATATCCAAGCATTCAAAGTGAAATTCAAGAGAACAAATATCGAGTTGAATTAATGTTGTATGTGTGTTATCCTCTGAACCGAACTCATTTACGGTAAAAACTGGTTGTTGGTTCCGGCCATAGACTGTACCGGCGCGTGCCATAGTAACGTGAGAGAGGCAGAGAGCTGCCTGCAGGGACGCGCTTTTCTGTCAAATGTGCAGACATTTCCCCAGCCCAGGAGCTGAAGGTGCATTTACGAGGGATGGATATGTAGACTGGAAGCACCTGCGTAACTCGTTGGAGAGACATAAAAAAAGCGAGGACCACTGCAAGTCCATGAGCAGGTTTGAATGCTACTAGCATGTAAACATTCAAACACACATTAAACACATAGTTAAACTGAGGCTTGGAGATATCTGTCCAAGTGATGAAGAGAAAAATAGGGGAGCCCACATGCATCAAAACCCCATTCCAGAGAGTCAACATGAAATTGAACATACTTCTGTGTTGTGTGCTCCTGATTTCTCTTTCACTGTAGAAGTTCCTGCTCTCCTAAATCCATCCGTGTGACTTCATCTTCCTTCAGCTTCGCCGTGAGGAGCTCTCAAATCTCTGAGGAGCTGAGCTGAAATTTCAGTCCAGTTGGCCATTGAATAACTTCTCCCCCTTTCTATTCTTCTGTAGGCCGCTACCTCTCTTGTTCTCTCTCTGTTTAGTCTCTCCCCATGTGTTACCACGGTTACCCTGCTCGTTTGTTTGTTTCATTATTAAGCCATCATGAAAAGCACTACAATCGATCCCTGGGAGCTAGCTGTCCCTGCGTCATCCTCACTGGAACTGACTCACCAGTATACACTCATATGTTGTTTGTTTAATCCATACAAAAAGCGTGGATTAAACAAAACATTCCTGTACCAAACAACTTGAAAGAGAAGGGTTTAGCAGGTAGGGTGTGCAAGAGATCACATGATTCAGTAGGTCAGCTAAGGGTAACTGGTCTTGTGTATCTAAATACAGTATCTTGATAGAATGATTTATATTCTTTCAGGTCTAGATTGTTCCAATCATTTGAAAGGTCCCCTATCATGCAAAATGCACTTTTTTTTTTTACATAAATGTGTCCCCGGTGTGTAAGGAGACTCACAAAGTGTCAGAAAATACAACCCTCTCTCTTTTCCTCCTTACCCACATCTCTAAATACGGGGATACAACGGAGCTGATCCAGATTTGCTGCCGATATGACGTAAACTTTGTTTACATTAGCAAGCATTGCTAACACTCAGAGCTAACCTGTACTGGAGAGAGTATGTTTAAAGGAACTCACCTTGTGGTAAACCTGTGAGAGGAAAAGCGTTTGAGCTCCATACAGTTTCAGATATAATCCTTGATGTGTTTTTGAACATAATACAGCGTTTAATCACGGCAGCGTTTAGCTGAGTATCTGGTTAGAATTCTCCTGCATGAGCTCTCCTCTTTTCTTTTTTTTTAAAGCTACAGACCCAGAATCAGCACTTCTCTAACAGGACGGAAATAGAGGGGTATGAGGCATGGCTAGAATGAGTGATCTGTTTGGTATTTCGAGCAAAACACTTCATAGACTGTTTTTTTATATATCTGAGACCTATAATATATGCCTAAAAATAGTATAATAGGAGACCTTTAAGGCACACCACCTTCTTCCAGCCGTAGGCCTGGCAGGAGTCTTTTGGCAATCTGGCTAAAGTGATGACAGATGAGAAAATAACCACATTTGATAACTTGAATAACTATCAAGGACAGCCTATATAAATCAGTAAAGTACATGTACAACAGACTGGTACATGTGTTTACCTACCACAGGGGTGGGGAACCTTTTTCCTCTCAAGGGCCATTTCAATTTTTTCAACATCCTCCGAGGGCCGTACAAATGATTGACCTCTGCTTAAAAATACTAAAATCACAGCCCATTCATTCCAACCTTTCTTTCATGCTGTGCAAAGAAAAAGCAACCTCTTAATCCAGATATCTTGCCATGACTCACGCATGCATGCAGGTGCACGGTTGTGGCATGACCATCAAAACAGAAAGATATGGACACAAGATGTGTGCAAATGTATTTAGTTTCCTATCCATGTGAACATGATTTAAGTGGGGGGGGGACCTAACCTCCTCTAGGGGGGTCCGGGGGCAAGCTCCCCCGGGAAGTTTTTTTTTAAAATGTTGAAGTTAAAAGCATCAATCTGGTGCACTTTGAGAGCAAAATTAAGAGATCTATGGATACATCTCTCAACACCCATATGAAACAGAACTGTAAGCAGATTTTCTTTTTCTTTATGGATATTTTACAAATCACTCCCCTTTCAAACTGTATTCTTGTTTATTAATAACAACTTTTTTTTACTGTCATATAGTATTTTATACCTGTTTACTTTATTTACCTGTTTACTTATTTTTTTATAACTATAATGATCATATAAAGATGTGCCTTTACCTCACTGGTTGTAGAAAAAGCTTCTTATATTCGTTAGCATAGCTAGCTAACCAGATGCTAATAACAACAAAGTTATTGACTGTATGATCAGTATGTCAGATGAACAGACCGCCACTGGGCTTACAACTAAAGACACAGCCACGCAAAAACTGCGGCATATGTACGGCACATGCCGCAGTAATAAATAAATGTAGTCTACATTTCATAAGAGGTGTAAAACCTGAGAGCATTTTAAATCGCATTTGAACTAAATGCTTATCTGTAGTTGTATTTGTATTGTTGATTTATTGTGTGAACGAGGCGATATAGAGAAGGTTAAACTGTCATTATTAGGCTGTTATGTACTGTTGCAGTGGTAAGCAGGCCTATTGTTTTGGGATATGTGTGGAGTCAGGTGGTCCGTGAGTGTTTTTTTATTGGTTAAGTGTCCTTGGTATGAAAGAGTTTGAGAAACACTGCGCTAGTGGATTGTCAACGGGGGGAGCCTCGCTGCGGGGAAATTATACAGATGGCTAGTCCGCCCCTGAAAAATGCCTATGCACCCGTTATTATTAATAATATTAATATATATATTAATTATTTTGTAATCATCTCGCGACCCCCACTCGGGGTCTCGGGACCCCCCGGGGGGTCGCGACCCCCACTTTGGGAACCCCTGCTCTAGGAGGTGATTCAGGTGATAAGGTGGGGGGTGTTACCTTGGTTGGTGATTGGCTAATGGTTACACAAGCCAAAAAATCGTTATGACATCATAAAGTGGCCAAGAGGGGACACATGTTTATGTATAAAAGACATGAAAAAGTGGATTTTGCATAATAGGTGACCTTTAAGTCGACTAGAATAAGGATTGAGGCCTTATTTGCAGAATTGATGAGTCGGTGATCATTCGTTGTTTTAGTTACAGCAGTCTCTGTACGGTGGTTGGACTTAAAACCTGATTGAAATGTTTTAGGGAAGCGTGTCCTCAGATGTTTTAGGGAAGCGTGTCCTCAGATGACTTCAGTATGACGTGGTTAGTCTGTAACTTCCAGCCACTTGAAGTCATCTTATTTCTTACACTGACCACACCCTTTATCGTGCTCAAAAGGAATACATACGTTACTTTATCATTGTCCTCATTGCGACTTTGAAAATAATTTGCAATGTTCAAGCGACAGTTTCTATAAATATAAATGGTTAGTCAGCACACGCAACAGGGAGAAAGAGGAGGGGTTAATTGTCCACAGAAGAGGAAACAAAGGTTTTATAGGGGGACTTCCTATGATCATCAAACAAGTGTATGTTAGCAGCCAGCACAGTCTACGTGTTTGAAGTGAGCAAAATGATCATTGTATCAGTGGCCTACTTTCTCCTGTTAGGTAAGTCTGGTGTGTGTGTGTGTGTGTGTGTGTGTGTGTGTGTGTGTGTGTGTGTGTGTGTGTGTGTGTGTGTGTGTGTGTGTGTGTGTGTGTGTGTGTGTGTGTGTGTGTGTGTGTGTGTGTGTGTGTGTGTGTGTGTGTGTGTGTGTGTGTGTGTGTGTGTGTGTGTGTGTGTGTGTGTGTGTGTGTGTGTGTGTGTGTGTGTGTGTACATGACATGAACACAAAGGAATAATTCATTATCTATGGCATTTGTTTAGTTTGGGAACTAAATGATTTAATCTTAATGAACATAAAACATGCTGTCCATCACGTTTCTGTTATTTTTAGTGTCTGATGCAACAGGGATTCCTCGAGTCAACACAACCGTCGGGAAATCAACGATACTCCCATGTTTGATGAACACAACTATAACTGACCTACATAATCTACGATTTTACTGGCAGGATGAAAACAAGAAGGTTTTATACACTTTTGATAAAGGAACAGAGGTGCCAAAGCTTATGGACAGACTTTATCGAGGCAGGATCACAGCCTTCCATCAGGACATGAGAAGAGGAAATATCTCAATCAAACTTGAAAACACAACGATGGAAGATAATCAAAAGGTTTTCGATGTTTTTGCAACAGTGTTTGGGACTATGGAATACGGTGAAACCAATAAAATCTGCCAACTTACTTTACATGTTGACGGTAAGGAAGAACATTTCACTTTTCACTACAGGATTAATCAGATAGAGGAAAACAAACCATTCTCTCAGTTAAGAAAGGAGAAGCGATGTAGCGTGTTTTCCAAAACGTCTTTTGTGTTTGCAAAGACAAAAGTGAAACTTCACTTTCTTTCTCACAGCTCCAAACGAGATCCAGACTACCACCTGCCCTTCAAACCGGAGTAAGTTAATAGCAGAATTGATTGTTCTGTGTATCCTTTAACCGATCATTTCCTGATTTAAAACCATGGACTGTATAAATTGTTGACGTCTCTAAAATGCTTTAAAAGAGCCGTTGAGTAGTCCAATGTATGTGGTGGCCATCTTGACAGTGATGACTCCGCCTAACTCCTGGCTAGTCTTAGGTTGCGTTCGAATACTCCAAAAAAACAGCTCCTAAATTCTAACCCTATCGTCTATTCCTTGACCTCGGAGTGAAACGTCATGGGGTTAAGGGATAGTGGATAGGAGAATTCAAAAGGACTTAGGAGAAGAGACTGCGGCACTTTAGAGAATCCGACTGCACTTTCACTATCCGACGTGTTTATGATGCGCCAGCGGAGGTCATAAATGTGCGCCTGCTGCTGTGGGGAAACTATGGAAACTACAGTTTTCTATACAGCGGACTACAACATGGATGTTTAATAAGAACGAGGGACTACTGTAAACTCATCTAGAGACTCTGCACCGTGCTCTGATGCTGTTGTTTTATGCTTTATGAACGGGGACAACAGAGAAACATATTCTTCATGACCAAAGTTGGAATTGAAATAAAAAAGGAAAGTGAAACTTATGCTCGTCACCCTCTCCCTCCGGTCCACATTAATACAAATGATCCCAATACGTATGATTGTATGAAAAGATCTTAAAATCAATACAAATGTATTTATTATAAACGTTAGTCCTTAACATCTATCACTGTGTATATCACCATTCAAACATCTTTTAAAAGTTGAACAAACCCCACACAGCTCAGTAAAGACTGTGAAATGTTGACTTTATTTGATCATTTCAGTAAAAACTAACGTTCATATTTCTCTTTTTGATTATAATACTGATGAACGTTCAAAACAAAGCACTTTGGCAACTTACCACATACGTTTTAAAATGCTTAATAAGCACCGTAACTTTCATGATATCATTTCTCGTTCATAATCGGTTGTTTCCGTGAACAGCCGACTGTTGTGTGACGGCAAATGCTGCGGCCGCAAGGCATTGTGGGGCAGCATTTTCTCCTCTCCTTTTGGTTAGGGAGGTCCAGTGGTTCCTAGGCTAAAGGAGGTTATAAAGGAAGTTTGAAACCTCCTTTCCTTTTAATTTAGAGAATTCGAACGGCACTTATCATGGCTGCCACTGAGGGACTTCCGGGTCATTTCACTCCGTTAGGAAGGTTCCTAAGCTAAATGGACTATTCGAATGCAACCTTAAAATGGGCAAATAGGTGGATTGTGGGTGGAGCTGAGGAGCAGATAGCTAGCTGTTAGCAGCACTGTAACCCTAAACCGGAAATTAGTTAGCGTATAACTACTTCAGGTTCCCTTACCTCGATGTCAATGTTTTTTTTTATGTGTTTTTAGTTAGATGCCTGAAATAAGTAAGATCTGTCAACACAAACAAGAGATTTTCCCATTTTGACCTACAACATTTCTGGCAATTGTATTTTCATTTCAGAAATGACAAAATTGATGTTAATGTGGAGATAATCCTGCTAAACAATACGTGTGTTTGCCAAAATCTTATTATCTGCCATATTCCGTAATCCAATGACATCCAAGAGAGCACTTGCAAAGCTAACTAACTTATTAAAACCTACAGGAATGTATTAAACCCTCCAACAGGAAGTCTGCAATCGTTCTGACTTACCCAGCTGGCCTACCTGGCTATTTGCAACCCTGTTTGTGTCCCTCAAAGCACGCTGTGCGCAAAAGGTTCCCTGCAACAACCTCAAGTGAACTGTGCAAAGTAGGAGAGACATTTTGTATTGTCAGACAGATGTTAACAAGTTCAAGATACAGAAGGAGTTTTCATTAAATGCGAGGGTGGAGGGATAGGTTTGAATTGGGCCTTATTCAGACCGAATCACAGGGACACACAGGAAGTAACATTGTGTCAGATTTACTATACACCTAATCATGTGGTGCTGCTGACACCTGCTGGACTAACAGTGTAATGCAAATATACCAGAGGCCCTTTTCCCAGAACACTTGTTAACATGTCTCAGTAGTAGAGCCATCTGTAGTGTTTTTTAAGTAACGTCTGTTTTTGTTCCTACTACTGTATGACTATTCAAACTGTCTCATGTGAAAAAGGCCTGTTCTGTTACATATGAAGAGATATTCATTCTACAGGAAGTGTTATGATTGTTAACACTTTAAACAAAGGATTACTGATATACATAATACATTTTTGAATAACTATAATACAAGCAAACAGAGCCAGTAAACAATGAGTGATTAAAATAATCAAAGATTCAATGGCTTTGTCATATGCACAATAGCTACAGCGTTATTTTGGCAATGCAAATATTAAGGCTCCTCCAACAATGCAACATAATATACTTAAGACAAAAGTAAATATTGTGGAAGAAATAGTACAAATAAAAGAGTGCAAAATAATTGTTTAGTTTAAAATGCAAAAATAACTGAACTAAATTATATATAGGTCAATTAGAATGACATCAAATAAAACCAGATTTTTAAATACTGCACAGTGGAGTAAATTGAAATACTGTGTATTGTAATAATACATAAATACGTATGTAGACTGTATTCATGAATTCAAGCTATTGCTCATTGACAGATTCCTATTCTTTGGCTACTACAACAGAACTAGAAATGTTTTTTATATATATATATATACATTCTTTTTTAAATCAGTTTTTTTCCTGCAGGTGGAGCCGACTGGAGCCCCCCCGCCTTGGCTGAAGCTCTCATGGTGGCTGCTGTTCTCCTCTGGATCTGAGGTTTATAAAGCACCTCAAATGTGAGTTGTCTTTTTAATGCACAGAGTGCAGGTCTGTTGGTGGTTCCCAGAGTCCACAAAATAAGATCAGGTGCTAGAGCTTTCGGCTTCGAAGCTCCGTTCCTCTGGAACCAACTTCCAGTGTTGATTAGGGAGGCAGACAGTGTCCATACATTTAAGAGTAGGTTAAAGACTTTCCTCTTTGGTACAGCGTACAGTTAAGACTGGTTTTAAACCCCCTTTTAAACATCCTCATCCTTCGTTTTATGGAATTGCAATTATTGTACTCTAACTCTATTTGTGTCATTGTGTTATGTTCCTTTTTCATTGGTATTTTCACATTTATCTTGTAAGATATGTTTGTTGTTTTTACATTGCTTTTACATTGCCAATTGTGTTTGTTGATTTGTGAAGCCCTCTGAGACAAATATGATTTGTGATATTGGGCTATATAAATAAACTTGAATTTATATTGAATTAATTTAAGGGCATATCATTGTTCAGATATCAAAGATGACACAAATGACATCACTATGAATGTTCTGTCTTTCCTTTCTTGTAGAAATTAAAGGACATGCTGGGTGAAAAGCGTCTGCAGCAGCTTTCACATTTCACAACGTTGTTTCACCTATTTCCATCTAATGATATGTTTCTTTGAAATGTTTATGAATTCTATAAATCTTTAATACATTAAAAGTATGTTGAACACTGGGTACTTAGTATAAACACACATATACTAGGTTAGAGGGTGCTTTGTAATAATGAAGCTGCTTTATATTTATATCTACTTGATATTTATTTTCATATCATTATCATGATATAAGTGTGATAGTGAATATTTCCAAAAGCTGTGTAGAAAAAAACATCATATCGTCAACAAGTGTCCTTGGCAAGCTACTGAACCCCAGATTGCTCCCGTGGGAATGTCTACGATATTGAAGTAGTTGTAAGTGACTCCTCTTGAAGACACTGGTACTGGCCTACCATGCCACCTGTCATTAATGAGGAGCACTGTTTGTGTGCATGTGAGTGTGCATGTGAGTGTGCATGTGTGCAGGTGTAGATGTAATGCAATGGCCATCCAAGTCTGGGACCATGAACTGTTTCAAAGAAACAAAATAGAACCTTGGGGGATGTAGTCATTGGGGGAGGGTATAAGCCAAATGGACAGCAGCTTTGAAGGGATGACTGTTGATCTTTTTTTCTTCTTTTTTGAGATGAAGTGCACTGGAGACATAAGCTGTAAGACAAACTGACTCAGGAGGAGCAGACTGGGAAGATGCCATTGGAATTAGCTAAACAAATAAGGAGAGAGGATTTTCTGCATGACCAGTAAAAGAAAGAAAGCTGATACAGCACATATATGGGACACTGCAAGGGTCCCACTGGGAGGGTCAGGGGTCAGTCTTTAGCAAGTAACACCTTAATAAAGACCTTACCTGCAGTGAACAACTTTTGTACTCATCTAGACACCTGTGTACAATGCTAACCACATTCTGTGTCAGCTCATTTGCTGGTGGGAAAAAAATAATATATTATGAAATGATGAAGTGAGGGTTAGGGTCCTCACTTACAGTACATAGCGCTATTCCAATCCTTACAAACCCTAAAAGCACTTTCAAATATACAAGTCAGCATTTACCGATTCACACACATGAATTCAGAGGAAGAGGCTGCTACACATTCACACACACTCACACACACCTTTAGCCATGCCATCAGGAGCAACTTGGGGTTATGTATCTTATCCAAGGAAAGATTGAATCGGCCATTGTTGCTTACGGCCACCCCTGAAGAGCCATATATTTTGTGAATTTTATGATGTAAAAATGTGATCCTTTTGTGTGAAACATAATAATAATATTATATTAAAGAGGCTCTATTCTGTTTTTTGGGGTTTTCCTTTTCCTGTAGTGTGTTATATATATATAGCTTTTTGTGCATTTAAATGGTCTGCAAAGACTATAATCCCAAAGTTCACCCCTCCATTGGACTCCTTTGTTTGCTTCCATAACATAATGACATCACTATCTGACTCGCGCCTCCGTTGGCTAGCTCTTCAAGACATTGTACGTGATAGGCTAAGGGGTGTGACTTCTTTAAGCATTCAAGAATCACAACAGAACCAGCCAGCTAACCAATCAGAGCAGACTGGGCTCTGGTTTCAGACAGAGGGGGAAAAGACGTGATGCAGCACAGGCAGTATGAGAACAATAAAGAGCTTTTTGAACATTAAAGCATGGAGACATGTCACAGTAGAGACACTACATACTGATAGGAACCTGAAAATGATCATTAGATGCCCTCTTCAATAAGAAGCCCATCAATGGGGTCCTTCCATCCTGATGTTGTCGGTGCTTGGACTTAAATCCTAAAAAAGCAGCCCCCAGAATCTGCTCAACACCTTCTTAACCTGATGACCCACAAATGTGAACTGGCACCTAGGGCTCATGGGGCCACAGTCCTGGGATGCGCCACACAGTACGGCCCTCCTCCCTTTCTACACCAGACCTTTGGAGCCCCTTTGTCCCTGGTTCCCATGTCTCTGCTGGGATTAATCCCTGAACCACAGGTGTGATAATCCCAAACAGACTGGGCCTACTGACAGAGCCCAGGCCCCAGTCTGCTTTGATCAGGGGGCCACAGCTGTGCTCCTGTTGGTCCACAAACTGAGTCCGGGACCTCCCTCCAAAGAGACGGGAGGACAAAACAAAGCCCACTTGTTCTACAGAGGCTGAGGATGCTGTGGTAGACATGCTTTAATGTGGAGTGAAGTGTAGGTGTTAGAAAAAGGGGGGTTTCTACAGCAGTCCTGTTTCTATAATTACATAGTAGCACAATTACTTTTAATTTTGTGCGAGGAATTAATGCTTGTACTTTAAATTGTTATAGTTGTTCATTTTAAATAAAAACAAAAAAAGGGTGTTCAACCTAGTGAAACACAAGTATTCTTATTAAAAACACAGTAAATATGGCTGTATCTTCAGAACCAAATGTTGGTCAGAACTCTTTGTTTTTTTACAACAAAATGTTTCCTATTACTTAATTCTAGTCGTTCCTTACATGAAGGCAAAGCAGCAGTAAACAATGTCTGCCTTACTGACAATCCAGCAAACCTAATGGAATTGTATTGGAAACAAAGAGGAAGGAAGTCACATGAGTGCAGGCAGGGTAAGAGTTGTGTTAATATATATATAATATAAAGTTGCTCTTCCTGTCTCCACACCAAAAGGACAACACATTGAAAGTGATTCAACCGTCAAAAGTGTTCCACAAAAATTGCCTCTGCAAAAAAAGAGTGTTTAGTTATTGACACAAATCTATATCCAGGAGACACAGCAATGCTTTCAACTGAGTAATAGAGGCAGATAGTAACATGTTAATGCTAACATGCTGAGTTGAGGATGACATTTTTCTTGCAGATATTTGGACAGACGATAGAGGATGATTCCCCAAAGTTATTTAAATATATGTATTTATATAATATGGGAGCATGAGTGTCTAGCAAATTGTCAATCCATTAAAATGTTGTTGAAATCTTTCATGCTGAACTGAAAATGCCAACCTCATAGTGGCTCTTAAGAAAAGTCAGCGTACACAGCTAAAGACCTTTAAAGGTCCCCTATTATACTCTTTTCAACAATATATTATGAGTCTCAGATATATATGCAAAACATGTCTCTGAAGTGTTTGGCTGAAACACAAAACAGATCATTGTAGCATCCCATAAACCACTCTGTTTCAGCCCTGTTCCAAAAGTGCTGATTCTGTGTCTGTAGCTTTGAATGCTATCAAGCTGCTGCTGGCCACGCCCCTCTGAGAAATGATTGGTATAAAAAAAAGGTTTTTATATGGATCAGGAGAAAAAGAGAGAGAATCTCCTGTCCTGAAACTTGCCGAATCTCTTAACACAGAGTGGACATTTATGTATAAAAGACATGAAAAAGTGGATTTTGCATAATAGGTGACCTTTAAGTTCGCAGGTCATTCATTTGCAAACAGAAGGAGATGTTCATGTTATTAATATGAAATATAATTCAACTAATTAATCACAATAGATTACCATAAATGAAGCTACCCAGCAGTATATACTGTAAGTAATTAAAGTGAGCTCCCCTTTACCAGTTGCAACATTAAAGTGATGAATTATTGCATTAATAGTTGTAGTACAGTCATTTTACATGATTCTGAAATACAACATAATAACCACTTCTACTTTTGTACTTTTAAGTCTTAGATACCATTTTAAATGCAGGACTTGTTACCGAGTATTTTTACATTGTAGGGGAGAGTGGGGTAAGACGAGCTAATTTTGACTTATGTTGACCTCTATTGCAAGGAAAAGTGAGATAGAAGTCAAATGACAACAACATTTACTCCAGGATGTCTTCTGTCAATCAAAATGTAAAATAATGCATCTATCACAAAGGGCCATGAAGATATGACGTCTCATATACTCCCTGTCTTGTTGCTTAACTTGCACAGTATATCAGACGTAGAAATAAAAACAGGAAACCACACACTGATTCAGCTGCTGACACACACACACACACACACACACACACACACACACACACACACACACACACACACACACGCGCACACAAAAAGATTGCTAATGTTTTTCGATATTTGGGCTTTACAGGGTTAAATACAATTTCTAATGTTTTTGGTAGTTTATACTTATATTCAAATTCATTTTGGAAGACAATAGTGTATTTTTTACTCCATTACATTTATTTGACATCTTAAAGTAGCATAGATTATCCTAATTGTGTTAAGATTTAGAAAATTAGCTTAAACAAAATATAAATAAATTATTAATTAAAACTATGACATAATTTTAGGTTAAAGTATTCATCAGCAGTGTGTAAAATAATTCGAATTTGCTCTACATTTACCAGCTGTGTAGCTGTATCAATATTCATAATCCAGTATTTGAATATTATTCTGAAATGGGCCATTATGCATGACGAGTACTTTAACTTTTGATACTCTAAGTATATTTTGAAGCTGATAAGTGTTATACTTTTACTGAAGTAAGATTTTGAATGTAGGACCATTACTTTAGTATTTGTAGAATTTAGTATTGCTACTTTTACTAAAGTTTCAAATCTGAGTACTATTTCCACCACTGGTTAATACATAGTATGTACTAAACAACATTATGCAATTAACACAAATACAAAAGGATATGGAAGAGAGAATATCATTGATATAATCATTAAAACCAAGTTGAAACATTACATTTTAAATGTTGATCCCTCTTCTGAACTGTGATCCTATATTTTTTTAATGTAATTTAATGTTTGTATTGTTAGCATACACTTAGCGGATCTGATAAGATAACTGATGATGTGAACTTAAACACGTAAAACGTGCTTGCTGATTTATTGTGTCAGTGGTAAACTGAACTGAAATCAGGCTCTGAATTTAGGAAGACTTGTTGTGATCCTTTAAAATACATTCCAAAATAAATGTATTTATTTAGCTGGAGTACAGACCTTTGTCTCCCCCTTGTGGCGGTAAGAGTAATTTCATATAGGAGACAGCATAGTGAGGGAACGGCACGGCAGCTATCTGGAGTGGATAAAGTACTCTGATTCTAAATCTGATGCTCCGGTGTTCAGAAGAGGGATACAAGTTCAACAAAAGCATATACAAAGAGCCTATCCTGCACAGAGAGGGCCACACATCCAAATAAAGTAACCAAAACAGGTTTTTTATGGAAGGAGCTTCAAGACATTTTAGCATTCACACATCTGCTCTTTTGACATCCTCTTTAAAGTTTTCAATTGGCACACAACACATGCTGCCCTTTATATAGGGCCATTCATATGGCCCTGAAACCCTCCAATCCATTCACACACACTTACTTGAATTGGATACCTTAGAATATACAGGCAAACATATACAAGTCTAATGCATTAACGTAGATCTGAGGGGTCACAGAATGTTAAATAAGCTTAAGGGTATCACTACATTTGTTTATTTACACTACCTTTACTTGTATTAAGGCTACTTGTATTTATGTTTTTTAAATTAATTTTCGCAATACGTGTTGTTTATGTTCTATATGTTTGTAGCTTATCGTATTTCCTGTCCTATACCTGTTAATGTTCTAGTTGTTTACACCTGATGTTCATTCTTTTGTTTTGCAGCAGAAAAAAACAACCTAAAACATACTGAACAACACTGTGTATTAAACGATGATAAAAAGTATTTAAACTTACAATGATAAAACTAATCCATCTCCTGCAAAAAATACATTTGTTCTCCTATTTTGCATTTTGCTTTGAATATTGTAAAAGAAGAAAAATGTCTTTTACAGAATAGTCAGCTTGCAAACATTTCAAAAAAGTCTCAAATTAATTATTGATGCTGTCATGTTTTACAATGTTTCTGATCAGGTGGTCATAAAGTCATTTCTTAACTTCAACGTTGAATGGAACTTCCCTTTTACTCTCTGTCTCTTCTGTTAAAACGAAGCATTTCACTTCATAAGGATGCTAATAGATGTGCATTGCTGAGAAACAGGAATGAGAAAATGGAATGTGAAGTGTGTCTGTTTCAAAATGAAGACAAAAGGTAGAAACACATGACCCTCTGTCCACTGGAGGGCAGCCTGTACCACAAACACTCACCTCCTCTCATTGTTTATGCATGTCTGTCTGTGCGTGTGTGCGTGTGTGTGTGTGTCTGTCTGTCTGTGTGTTACTCTTGCTGATGAGAAGTCCTGAGCCTGTACGTTCCCACTCTGCTTGAAGCAGGTCTACAGTGCTGTTATGAACTGCTGCTTAATGTGTTGGTTGTTTCCAGGAGACTCATTCTTTCTCTCTATCACACACACACACACACACACACACACACACACACACACACACACACA